TTTTTGGTCAGTTGTGGGACTTGAACTCTGGCCTGGGAGCTGTCCCTCAGCTCTTTAGCTCAAGGCTAGCGCTCTACCACTTGAGCCACAGTACCACTTTCTATGAGACTCTTAGCTCCAATTAATCACCAAAACACCAGAAGTGGAGATGGCTCAAGTGGTAAAGTTCTAGCCTTGAATACAAAAGCTCAGGGACAACACCCAGGCCCTGAATTCAAGCCCAGGACCAGCAAAAAAGGAAAAAAAAAAGTACTTTGGGGTTGGAAAGATGGAGCTCTTACATACTTATCATGAATGAGGCCCTATGTTTAAACTCCAATAGCACAGTAAGTAAATAAATTCACTTCTGTGTTCCTTTTTTAATTGATGTAGGAAAAAAACATACATTTAACTTCTGTAGCTTAAGAAACCTCCTCAGAAAAGTGAAATATATACAGATAGAATATCTTCAGTTCTCAACCATTATCAGGAAGATTAAGCCAGCACTCAGTAAGAGATTAATAAGAACCACCAACTGTTACTGTTACATGGTTATCCCATTTGCCTAGAGAGAATGTGGTCAATAAAGGAGTTACAAGAGGCAGTAAGGTCAGGGAAAGAGCCAAATACTTTGGGTTCTCCACTAAGTTCTATCATATAACCTCTCTGGCTAAATTTATTTTTTACATATAACTTTAAAACAAAGCAATGGTGGCTTACCCCTGTAATCCTAGCTATTCAGGAGGCTGATATCTGAGGATCATCACTTGAAGCCAGCCCATGCAGCAAAGTCCATGAGATTCTTATGTCCAAGTAACACTAAAAATCTGGAAGTGGAGGTGTGGCTCAAGTGTTAATGCACTAGTCTTGCAAAAAAACAAAAAACAAAAAAAAACTAATAGACAGTGCCCAAGTCCTGAGTTCAAGCCCCAGTAACTGCACCAAAAAGAAGAAGGAGGAAGAGGAGGAGGAGGAGGAGGAGGAGGATCAGGAGGATCTTTAAAACAGTATTCTGGATGATCTCTCATGTGTCTTTCAACTCTCTAATACTTTTTTCACACAAGAATGGTATCATAAAACAGAAATTCTTGAACTCATGAACTGGGTGAGCCTGTAATCTTAGCTTCTCCAGGCTGAGATCTGAGAGTTACAGTTTAAAGCCAGCCCAGGCAGGAATATCTGTCAGACTTTTTTCTTTTTCTTTTCTTTCCTTTTCTTTTTTCTTTTTTTTTTTTTTTGTCAGTCGTGGAGCTTGAACTCGGCTTGGGCACCGTTCCTTAGCTTTTCAGCTCAAGGTAAGCACTCTACCACCTGAGCCATAGCGCCACTTCCGGTTTTTCTGGTGGTTTATTGGAGATAAGAGTCTCGGGCTGGCTTTGAACTGCAATCCTCAAATCTTCACCTCCTGAGTAGCTAGGATTACAGGTGTGAGCCACCAGCTCAGCGATTGAAACACTCTTATCTCCAATTAACAACCAAAAAGCTAGAAATGGAGCTGTAGCTTAAGTGATAGAAATGCTTATCTTGAGCAAAAAAACAAAAACAAAAACAAAACAAACAAAAAAAAACACTTCATGGACAGTGCCCAGGCCCTGAATTCAAGTTCCAGGAACACAAACTCACACACACACTCCTAAAATTCTCTATTCCACCTGTCTTTTGAGCTATGTTTAAGCAGAATACTTTCAGTTTAAGTAATCCAGTGAGTAAAGCAAATATTTCTAATCTTAGCCAG